CATCAGTATGTGGTCTGTATATAGAAGATCCTCATGGTTACATGATATAAAATCATAATGACTGACCTTAGAGAACAAACAATTATACTGTAAAATAATGCAGTTATCACAGCTGCATGTTATTTAAATATATGGTGAAGAAAATTCAATTGTGAGTGATTATGAATATGAATGGAGCATTTGGGAAATAATGGCAGAACGAGGAAAAAATGGAGTGAGACAATGAGAGAGATGGGACTTGGGATGGATTTTTTGGTAACACTTTATATTAAGGTACTGTAATAAGCGTTAATTAATGCTTAATAAGCACCAATTAACACTTAATGAGCACTTATATACAGAATAAGATGTTTACTACCATTAATAAGACTATATAAGTGTTAATTATATCATAATTAACACAGTTATTATTGCATATAGGAGCATTATAAGCACTTAATAGAAAGTTGATAGCAGTTTATAAAGCTATCCTAAATATTAATCAATAAACCACATTTATTACTTGTGTATAAGACACTATAAGACCCTATGAGATTAAATTAATAAGGTGTTGTTAATAGTTAATAATGATCCTTTGCAGCTACTGGATCTAAAGTGGGAACAGTGTCGTATAAAGGTTAATCAATTATTAATATGCTCTCAGGGCTCGAAACTAACGGTGTCCCAATGTCCCAGGGACTATAAAAATTGCTACTGGGACACAATGATGATGTGTCTGGGACAATTCCAGGACAGCAAAAAAAAAAAAAAAAAAAAAAAGTCAAAGCAATATTGAAATGGGTGTTATTTACAACGTCATTACGTATGGGTATCTGAACGTCGCTTTTATCGCTTGAATAATTTCAATAAAAACTTACAAACAGCAAAAATACAGTGGCTTTTGCTGCACCTGATCTGGGTCCACATGCGTGTGCATGCACACATACGGAACTCAACTCACTGCATGATGGTCACGCTGGATGCCACTCGCCACCAATGCTCACCACTCCACATCAGAGCACAGAACCTAGCAATGCTGAGATGGTTGAAACAACTGATGCAAGCCCCTCACGTGCTGCTCCAGTTGGAGTAGGATGCGACACTTCACTTTGGGACTCTGAAGACGATGTTTCATCTGTTTCTGCCCCTGTGGTAAGTTAGTTTGTTAAAGTAGGCTATAGGCTAACGTTAGCTTGTTGATTTTTAGCTAGTTCTAGTTATTTGCGATAGCTAACACTAGCAGCTATCATGTACATGATGGCCCAGATAGCAAAAGATGTTAAATCAACATTGAGTTATGGTCAAAAAGGTTGATTTTTAGTTAAGGTTTAAAAATCAATGGTTGATCAACCTTCTAAAATTTTTATGTTGAAAATATATCATTGAATCCACATTATATGATGGTTGAGATTGTAGATTGAAATGTCAACACTGAATCAATATTGTTTTACTAATGCTGTTTCAATCATAGACTGAACTAGGTGAGACCATATAATGAGAGGGTGGGGGGGTCTCATACATTTTAATTTAAGCACCTTTTGCTGTGGACTTATCTTTTTACTATTTTAAAGTCTTCTGAAGGTTTGTGTGTAATTTATAATGACAAAGACATCTAAAAGGTGCTTTTGAACAGTGACAGCAAGGAGTGGAACAGCCCAACACTCCAAACTTTAAACCTATTGAAATGGTACATCCCAGGTAACGTTAAACAGCCGCCAAGAAGGAGCTGGGTTTGCCGTTCCGTTTGCCAAGAAGAAGAAGCAGCCATTTTCCTCCTCCTCCCCTTTGCCCATGCTCGGCTACTGCTCAAGTAAGTTGGGAATATTACTGATTTTATTGATTCTATTAATGATAACTGCTGCTTTTGTGCTTAACGGAGTTTATTAAATTTTTTAACGTTTTGTTTTAACGTTAACTGGCACATTTCGAGCATACAGCATCAGTTTAGCCACATCAGTTTTAGCCTAACAGTGCATTTCGGCTAACGATAACTTAGTGTGCATGGTAAAATCCTTTGTTAATTTAACCTTGAGAGTAACGTTAATGATACACGAAGAGTCCAAAGTAGCACTCAGCACCTGCTAAAGGCTTTTAGCGTGTAGACCAACTGAAAAAAGCGGCTGGTCTTCTGTGTTGTGATCAGTGGCGTTTTCTCCTGGAGGCCAAGGGAAGCCAAGCTTCCTCTGTTTTTTCAGACTGTAATTGTCATTTTAATAAAAACACTTTGTTTAACAGTTTCGGTAATTCTTCCGTGCTGTTGCTGTCATTTCTTCTCTGAGTATTTTACAATGAGTGAAACAGCGCCCCTCTAAATGAATGTGTGGGGAAACACAGTATTGCACTTTATATTGCACTCCGGTAGACTGTCTTGTCTGCGGGGAAGCCAGGCCAAGTTGGCATCCCTTGGTGAAAAAAAAATGAAATATTAACCAATCAGATGAGGTTATTGTCATGCCAATGTCAAACTGTGATTAGTCAGGACTATGCCAAGGGAAGCCAGCCGCCCTTTGGCTTCACACCAATCAAATAGCACGTTATCAATGTCACTGAAATCAAATAACGCCGGGAGGTAACCAAGGTAACCGTTAGCAACTTTACTGCAGTCATGGAGGGTGGCGATTTGGAGTTTTTGGTAAAAAACAATTTTGCGAAACTTCCTTTACAGCAGCAACTTAAAATTAAATTAGATGGCAGACCAACACCAAAACTAGAGCTGCAGATGGAGAGAAAAAAAGGGACTTGGACTTTCAATGAGGAAAATTATGTCCAGGCTAGCTGGTAGCGCTAACCTTCAGCAGCTATTTTGCTGGCCCTGTCTTCTTTTTGACAAGGATACATGCTCGCTGAACAATCCTTGGGTCAGTACAGGAGACAGGAGAATGGCCTTCCTCTTCAAATAGGGTGAGTTAAATGCACTCCCTCTCTCTGTGACTTTACTGTTGATTGAACAGCCTATGTAGCTATGTGTGCATTTTTTGATGTGGTTATTTGCTTATTGTGCCTTGCTTGCCTGGATTTAGCTGTATGTGTTGTCAGTCCACTGAAGTAGTTGTTTTATTGCGGTTGTTTACATACATAAAATTTACTGTAAGCACCCCGGACAGTGCCCACAGGGCCAGGTTACCTGAATAGATGAGGTTGTTTATAGCCTCTTTTGACATTATAAACATTATCAAGCACATACATCGGGGTTTGTAAGTCATGTATTTGATAGATGCAGCTTATTGATACTTCATAATGTGAACATAAAACTTGAAACATCTCCCTGATTGAGTTTATGAATGAATGATTTTTTTATTCATTATCAAATTTGTACTGTGTATTAAGCGGCCGGCCACGCATTTGGGTAGCGGAGTTGCATGGATTTTAACGTTAAGTTGTTTTGGAGGACCGTGTGTGTGTGAGTGAGAGAGACAGAGAGAGAGAGAGAGAGAGAGAGAGAGAGAGAGAGAGCTTGTGTATCAGTAAACGCAAGTGATGTTTGTGCGCGCGAGCGCGCGTGTGTTGAAGTGTCTGTTAGATTAAAATTTTCCCCACGCCACACCACTGGTTGTGATTTGAGCAGGCTAAAGTTAACGCGGGCTCCGCCATTAAATTCGTTTGAATGTAATGGCGGCGGAGAACAAGCCTCTACACTGAAACACACTTATGCTTTCTAAACTAGCAGTGAGGACCGGTGAGGACGCCCTGCGCTAACGTTACTGTAGGACAGTGTGTTTCAACCTTGGGGTCAGGACCCCACGTGGGGTCGCCTGGAATTCAAATTGGGTCCTCTGAAATTTGTAACAAGTGATATAAATAAATAAATGGAATAAATAGAATAAAAATAAAATAAAATTATAATAAAAACCACACATAATTTAAAACAACTGTATACTGCATTTTCATACATGAAATAGCCTAAGTGTGGTATAAATCTAACGGTTATTTTCAACGTAATATAAAAAAAACTATTACATGATTGAAAACAAATCATTCAAAACACAGTTTTATGCGAAACATGAAATTGTCTGTGTTTTGAATGTCTTAAGTCTTTCTGTCACTCAGTATTTTGATGTCAGCAGTGTGATTTAATTTATGGAGGAAAGTGAAAAAACAGCAGATGTTTTTGCTTTATCTTACGTTTATTGTATTTTCAGTTTATATTTGTTTTGTTTGTTCATTACTACTGTGATTACATGCTACTAAAATGCTGATGAAAAATCACATGAGGCCATAATGATATGTGTATAGCAAATTAAAACAGTAAAAAGCAATTCACTGGCACTGGACACTGATTTACATTGATTACATTACATTGATTTTGTTAGATAAATATCTTTATTCCAACAATTATTTTCTGTGGTATTGCAACATAAAAAATTAACCCATTCTGTTTTTCTTTCAGCCTCCAATACAAGCCA